CTGCTGAAGGAATGCTCAGAATCTATTTTCTCTTGATAAAATTTTTTATGTAGCACATTTGCCTGCTACACTGAGACATTTCTTCATCTTCAGCATGTTCAAAAATACTTAGTCTGGTTGACGACAGTTATTTTCTCCTGTCTCTGCTCTTCTTTTCCATTAGCAACCTGATTGGAGAAGTGTGTGTGTTGGAGGATATGACATCCCACCTGCCTGTCATTGAAGTCCGAATTGAAGAATGTAGAGGCAAGGGTTTTTTTTAGCATGTTTTTATCTATTTTAACCAAATTTTCTGTCATTGTTAACATTTAATTACTATCTCTAGTGCTTCTTCTAATGTCATGAACCTGAAACTTGCTTTTGTAGATGAAGGGATCGACGTCCGGATCCGAGGCTTGAAGATTAAGTCGTCATGTGAGAGGGACCTGGGTCTGAATGCCGACGTTTTCCAGTCCTCTAACCTGGTGCGCTATCCTCGCCTGCAGGGCACCCAACCTGACGTCCTGTACCGGAGAGCACTGGTTATCCAGAGGTGGGTCTGTGTTCATCACATTGCCAGTGTTCTTATAGTCACAGAGTTAAATATTTATCATGAAGCTGTGATATCTTTGGCTTTGCTCAGAAAAAACTTTGCTAGTACATGACCAGTAATTAACCAGTTACAATGTAAAGTGGTTAGTGCTGTTAGATAAGCGGCATCGATAATGGATGGATGAATGTTTGTGGTGGTTATTTGCTTGTGTCTCGCTCTATGCAGGTTCATCTGTCTCCTGGACAGTGTGCTCCCACACCTGGTGCCAGCCTGGGACTACAGCCTGGGCACCTTCAACCAGATCAAAGTGAGTCATCTTGAATTTTTTTTAAATATACAGTACAAGCTTTGAATATTAGTAACCAGCAATAAACCCTAAGCAGCTGTTCTTTACCGTTATGTTTTAATGGATACCCACTTTATGAGTTTACAAAGAGGTATCGACCACAGTGTGTTTTATTAAGATTAAAAGGAAAATGTGTTATTGACACTCAAGGTCACAGTCAAGGTAGAATTTATTGTCATTTTCTCCATATGCTATACTTAGTATACAGTTTCTTCAATAAAGAAGCAGGCAAACAAAAACTGGTGCAAAGGACTGTCAAATACAGTAGTATTAAATAGGGATTGCTATTGGGAGAGCATGAAGAATCCATTTGTGCCACTTTGCTCTTTTGTCAATATCTCTAAGTTCTATGAGTGCATTCATTTTTGAGGAAAATGAAAAAACAAGATGCTCACTAATACTTTCAGTAAGAGTTGAGCTGACTGTGTATTATTGCATGAAGCTGGCAATAGGCCATACTAATGTAATGTAATGTTATCACGGCACCTCCACTTTAAAACTCTTTATAAGCTCCAACAAAATGAAACTCCACTCTTTTGTGTGTTCTCTGGCTCCCTCTAGAGCATAAAGCAATTCTTGCTGCTGTCCAAACGTCGCTCAGCCCTCATCACTCAGTGCCTGAAGGACTCTGAGACCAGTAAGCCAAACTTCATGCCCCGGCTCTACATCAATAGGCGTCTGGCCATGGAGCACAGAGACAACCCCTCTCTGGACCTGAGCTGCAAGAATGCGGTGTTCAATCAGGTAACAACTGGACTTTTACTGTTGTCTTGAGGAGAGAAGCTTAAAATTCACTGTTTGGTGTTCCTCTTCTAGAGTGGATCATTTACCCTCAATTTTTTGTTTGTTTCTGACTCTGTGATGCATGACTGAAGCGCTTGCTGTTTCCATATGATGTTTATTTTTGTCCTCTCCTGTAGGTGTATGAAGGTCTCAAGCCATCCGACAAATTTGAGAAGACTTTAGATTACAGGTATGCATTTTCAGCTTTCCTTCTCAGGCTCATGTTTCAGATGTCTTTCCTGAACATGTCACTACAAGGCACAGGAATTTAAATCCTCAGCCTTTTGTTTTCATCCATCAGATGGCCTGCACGGTATGACCAGTGGTGGGAATGTAAGTTCATTGCAGAGGGAATCATTGACCAAGGAGGTGGATTTCGGGACAGCCTGGCAGACATGTCTGAGGAGCTTTGCCCCAGCTCAGCGGAGTGTTCCATGCCTCTGCCATTCTTCTGCCGTACATCCAACCAGGTAGTCACTCACCGTCATTGCCTTCACACAGTCAAGATTACACTGGACTTCAGTGTTATCACTGGATATGTGGATGTTTTTCCTAATGTCTCAGGGCGCCTTAGAGGCCAGAGATTACTATGTCCCCAATCCATCTTGTAAAGAGTTCCACAAGTACGAGTGGATCGGTCAACTCATGGGAGCTGCTCTCAGGGGAAAAGACTTTTTGGTAAGAGAAGCTCACTCACCACCTACTGTATATCGTTTGCAACACTGTAAAGTAAGAATGAGAAGATGTGCAATATGCTGTAGATTTGGCTTCCTGACTTCTTCTGTGTGTGCAGGTTTTGGCTCTGCCTGGGCTGGTGTGGAAGCAGCTGACTGGGGAGGCCATCAGCTGGAGTAAAGATTTCCCTGCTGTAGACTCGATCCTGGTGAAGACATTCATATTATTTACATTTGCTTGACAGCTGTGCAAAGTACATCTTACCCTTATGAAGTAATGGCCAAAGGTAGACTGAAATACTTACCTTTGAAGGGAAAGCAGTCTTTGTAAGCAGAAGAATTTAGTATTTGGAGAATCAATAAATCTCCTTACACTTCATTTGACCTGGTTTTCATTTCACAGATGGCCTCTACTGCACCCCAGCCATTGTTTTACCTTTCCCAACTTTCCAGCTTTCCAGCTTCCTTACCATAAATTTAGAATATAGATTAAACAGTCTCCATCAGTATTTTTTTATTTACATAGCATACAGTATTCTACACAATCAGTCATTGTTTCAATATACATTTGAATGTGTGTCTAGGTAAACCTGTTGGAGGCCATGGAGAACATGGACCAGGAGACATATGAGTTCAGGTTTGGGCAGGACCTGGTGTACACCACCCTGCTGAGCGACGGCCAGTTAGTGGAGCTCATCCCTGGAGGCAGTAATGTGGCCGTTCACTACGAGGACCGCTGCGAGTTTATCCGCCTGGTGCGAAAGGTTCGGCTAGAGGAGAGCAAGAAGCAGGTCTGACTTCAGTGTTGTTACACTTTGCCTTCTCATGCATTGCTGCTTCTCTAGCAGCAGATGCTTTTGCTCTTCAGGATGAGCTCATCCACTAATAATGATGTGTATAAAACTACAAAGCCAATGAAGAGTGTGTCTAAAAATGTAAATGCACGTTACAGATTGCAGCCATGCAGGTGGGGCTGCTGAAGGTGGTTCCTCAGGCTGTGCTGGACCTGCTCACCTGGCATGAAGTGGAAAAGAAAGTGTGTGGAGACCCAGAAATCACTGTGGAAGCCCTGAAACGACTCAGTGAGTGTCCATTTATCTAAGCCACCACATATTTTCTATTCATTGAAGAGATGGCACTCTGTTAAAATGTTCTTCACAGCTGTCAATATGTCAAACATTATACCTGCTAAACATCAGCATGTTAGCATTGTCGGCTCATGAGCATAGTAGTACGCTAATGGTAGCATTTACAGTAGCTCCAAACAGGATGATTATCAAACAACATCCTTTGGAACCTAATCTAAAAGGAAAATAATAAGCTAAAATTCTTATTTGAAAGCCATTAATGTGCATGTGAAGGAAAAGCATTTTCAGTTAAATCCTGTAGTCAGCACTCTGCATCACTGTAATGCATCAATGTTGTTTCTGTCTCCCTACCAGCACGCTATGAAGACCTAGAGCAAAGTGATGTTCGAGTGCAGTACTTGTGGGAAGCGCTGACAAACTTTACAAATGGTCAGTTTATTGTTTTGCAGCATTTTAGAGAGCTTGATAACTGTACTGAAAGTATTTTACATCATGTCATAGTTTGAATCCTGACATGTATCTTTGTGTAGTTGTTGTACTGAAGATATACATTACACCTCTGTATTACTGATGAGATGAGGGTATTGAACTGGAATTTATGGAAAGTATTTTGTGACAGTTTTTTTGTTGTTGTTGTTGTTTTCAGAGGATCGCAGCAGGTTTCTGAGGTTTGTAACCGGTAGAAGTCGTCTTCCTGCACCAATCTACGTCTTTCCTGACAAACAAGGGTGAGTGGATCTGTAATGAAATTTAATGACAGAAAATGTACTTTCTGCCAATGATAGCTAAATAGAAAATTTAGAAAATGAAGCTATTCACTTTTCTATTTTGAAATGTTTTGTTTCCTGATTCAGCTCTGAAACTACAGATGCACTTCCACAATCCTCCACATGTTCCAGCACACTCTATTTACCTAACTATCAAAGGTATATTAATCTTGTTTTGTACATGGAGATTTAGTTACTATATATTAATGTGTACATTAAAAATACTGTTGGGTTCACGATGTACTGCATGCATTATCATATAACACAAAGCTGTTTTTAGTAAGTTGCCTTTGTCTTATGAAACAGCGACTTTTTGTAAAACTTCTTTTGACTGTAATAATATATTTATTGCCACATACCTCTTCCTCTTCTCTTGTTCATTCTCTCCTGCAGTGCAAAGGTTTGTGAAGAGAAACTGCGTTATGCTGCGTACAACTGTGTGGCCATCGATACAGATATGAGCCCCTGGGAAGAGTGATCTCTCTGCTGCTTCACTGATCAAATTCTTACAAATGTTGAATAGAAAATGTTGCCACGTTTATTCCCAAATCTACACAACTGCCAATAATCCAAACTGTATATAATAAAGAACTATATACAAACATGGATGCAGCTTTTTTTTACAAATCACGTTTCTTGAATGAAATGTTAAATGAATGGATGTGAAGTTTAGGTCTTAACATTTATCTGCTGTATATAGGGATGAATATATAATTACATTAAATTGTAAGCTAAATGCAATATAATTAGAAATGTTTTGATATATTTAAATCATATTGAATAATTTTTCGATTCTACTATTAAATATGGAATTTAATAGTTGCATGCATACATGAAATAAATATAGTAATATGTATAATATATATTTAATATATGCTGATTTAGTTATACCTACTACCTATCTATACCTAAATACCAACAAATATTTTTTGAAAAAAATGTGGTTTGTATAGTAAGAAGCGGTATGAATTACTTTTTAAAAAAATTTTTTATATATACTTTATTAAGGCATAAGACAGTAGTTATACATAAGTAAATAGAACGAAAACACAAGGACTATAACATAAAATAAAGAACATAAAAACAAGAACAACATCGAAGCAGACAGTGTGAACATGAAACTTAAGTAAAAAAATTCAGGGAAGTACATATATTACAAATTTTGATAGCTTTTTTATTTTCGCTCTTCAGGATGGAGGAGAAATAATTTTTAATTTCGCATAACAGGGCAGGGAAGAAGGGTTTAGATTTAGAGAATTTGCATTTGTGAATATAAAATTTTGCCATGAGTAGAATAAAGTTAATTAAATGTAGTTTGTCACTTTCCTTTCTATTATTGTTATACAGACCAAATAAAACATGTTCCCATTTCACAGCAAGGGGATAATGAATTTTGGAGGTGATGAATACAGAGACATTCTGCCATAAATCATAGCGGTATGAATTACTGTACAAGAAACCTCGTTCACTGTGGCGTCAATTCTCGCGACAACACGTTGCCTCAAACCTCCCCATGAGCCTTTACGGTTCCTCTTTCTAGCCGGCGCCTGAGAATGGGTATGTGTTTTCAACCAAGGATTGGTGCGGGAATCTGTGTCCATCTGATGATTTAACGAAGGATTATTCCAATAATGGTTTGCTATTTCGAAGCTAAATGTTGTTTAAATTGGTATAGCTTTATCTTACCTGTTTTAGTAGTTGCATTAATTTTTTTAAAGAAGTAGTTTACACTCGATGTGTGAAGTACTCAAAGATGGCTGCTCACGTTAGACATGTTGTTAGCTGCGGATGCTGAAGCTAAGCAGACTGCAATGTTTGAGGTGCTTTAGCAAGATTGGCGTTGTCCGTCTAACATTTCAGCTGCTTAGGAGTCGTGTTAAAAGGGTTTTGTGCTTAAATTTCTAAGCGTCAGGCTAATTTAGAGATAGTGTTAGCATTAGCAGGCAGGTAATGCTAGTTCTGAACATGTCACGATGCTGTCGTTAAATTGAAACGCTTCAGGTAAAACTGGGTATTACCTCTTGTTTGAGTTTAACTAATTTAATTTATATTTATAGCTATCAGTATATTAACGTATCTTACACCGCACGTGCGTGCATGTGTCTGCAGGTCAAAGTAATTTAGTTGTAGGGGCTAGAAATTGCTACAAAAATTTGCCACAATGCAGCCTGTTTTTGATGTAAATTATCTAGATTAAGTAAATGATGATAGTTTAGTGTATGCTTTATATTAAATCTGAGACGAACTTTTATCTGTCAAATTTTGTTGGTAGTTTGGTCAGTATTCCAAAAAAACACATTAGAAATGTCTTCCCCAGTTCCCCATCAACTGTTGGTTTGTCTTAAATTTCCAAGCCTATACGATATTTAGCCTAGTTTGCTATCATGGGCTACATATACCACGTTAGGTTTGAGAAGGTGGAAGCAGAAAATTTTGTCATTGAAAACAACAAAAAAACAATCAGCTGTTGGCATATTTGTATATTCTGATGGTAGATTCCTTGCAGCTCTAGATCATAGGTTTATTTGGACATTGAGGTATGTTTGAAATCAGGGCGGTCTGTTTTAGCATGAAAAAGTGTAGCATTTGGAAGTGTTCCTTCATTAAACATGCAGCCCTATTTATCAGTGAAGGCAGCTTGTAATTGCTTGAGTGACATGATGAAATTTCATACAGAATCCAAATTAAAATTGCGGACAACCTTTACCTTGGAGAACTGATTGCTCAAGCATCCTGAATCATTTTTTGGTGGTCATCTTGTGAGTTGTCCACTGATCTAACACCTGGTTACTCAATTTGATTTGTTCAGGTATCTCAAGGGACAACTGGCATAAACGCCGTAAGACCGGCGGTAAACGTAAGCCGTACCACAAGAAGAGGAAGTATGAGCTTGGGCGTCCCCCTGCAAACACAAAGGTGAATAGAGTGGTTTTGCCTGCTAAAGCTGAGCTTAATGTGAATGTGTAGCGTGGGTGATGAAAAGTTGACCTTAGGTAGGTCTTTTTTTTTGGGCCGTTTTGGTTCAAAGCTTTTGACTTGCCAATGTTAGGACTTGTCATAGTTACTCTGACACGCCTTGATGCTTATGAAATCATATTTATTTTCTATGTTCCTTCAGAATACAGACTAAACATGCGTTTTGACACTAATATAAGTTGTCTATTTCTTTAGATTGGACCTCGTCGCATCCACACAGTAAGGGTCCGTGGTGGAAACAAGAAGTACCGTGCTCTGAGACTGGATGTTGGGAACTTCTCATGGGGCTCTGAGTGTAAGTTTCCCTTCAATGTCACTTTGGTTTTACAGGGTGTTTTGAACCATCCTTAAAGTGGCAAATATCTTTCCATGACGATAACTTTGTCCAGTTCTGCTACTGAATGAAAGTGGTGATAACAAAGACTCTGAGAAAGGCCTGTTTTATATACTTGCATGTTTAAATATTTATTAAGACCATTATTAGTTGACAGACAAAATGCAAAAGATTGCTCCTGCAAACAATGCTTGATTTCCTGTACTCAGGCTGCACACGGAAGACCAGGATCATTGATGTGGTCTACAATGCCTCCAACAACGAGCTGGTCAGAACCAAGACCCTGGTGAAGAACTGCATCGTCCTCATCGACAGCCTTCCCTTCAGGCAGTGGTATGAGGCCCACTACGCCACTCCTCTGGGACGCAAGAAGGGAGCCAAGCTGGTATGTGGAAAAATACAGTGATGGCAATATAGTAGCTGCACACCATATTTTGTTTTGGCTTGGTACTGACTTAAAACTGTGTCCAGGCTTTTGCACATCACAGTTCACCAAATAAAGGTTACGGTGCCATGACATTTGAAAGGACAATTTTTAATGTCTGCTAGATGGGTTGTATTTACTTTACATTGCAAAAATCAACGTGTGATTTGTCCAAACTCCTGCATACAATGATACTGTCATAATGGCTGTTACACTGAAATGCTAAAATTATAATCAGAGGTTAGTCTTTAAGAAAAATAAATGCATGTAAACATATATTTTTGTCCATTCTACAGTTGTATATGCTTTTCTTCTTAAAATGCCACAGCTAAAATGTTTCATAAATGTTAGATTGCTGGTTGTGTAGTATTTTCCATAAGCTCTCCCTGCAGTTGCACCTTGGTTTTGGGAAGCTTAAATTAATTTTGCCTATGCTTAGTGAAATTAGTATGTGGAAATGTGATGTTTGGGGGGACGGGGTATAAGAGGCACATTTATTTTGCGGCTTAATCCAAGGTTAGAAGATAACTAAAGGGATTTGTTTTTCCTTTATGAATTTGTGTGTGGTTTGTGATCTTGTGCGTCTTTCCATGATGAAAGCTTTGTTCAGTTCTGCTACTGAATTAAAGTGATGATAACACAGAGACTGAGAAAGACCTGTTTCCAACACTGACATCTACTGCACTGTTAAACATTAAAATCAGAGTATTTGCTAGGAATTAAAGTGTTAAAAAATTCTCAAGTGTTTCATCTCTTAACAAGTTCTGTGTCGTCTGCTGCTGTAGACTCCTGAGGAGGAAGAGGTTCTGAACAAGAAGAGGTCAAAGAGAACCCAGAAGAAATATGATGAGCGTAAAAAGATGGCCAAGATCAGCACCCTCTTGGAGGAGCAGTTCCAGCAGGGAAAACTGCTAGGTAAGTCCAGTGTGCATTGCTTTCCTCTCTGGTAGGCTGAGATCACTAGGAGGTTTAACATCTGCATTGATTGTGCATAATTTTTCAGCACCTGGACTGCCGAGTGGCTGTCGTGAAAGTCGCACGGTCTTCCCCATGGGGTCACTTAACAGATTTCCATCATTTTTAATTTCCATTAATAATGTGCATATGGTCCTTGAGTATGTAGTTTGGAACTAAGAATTAATTTATTGCAGCACCAGATGCTAATCCATTCTAGTCTTATTGCAAAAGGGACAAGCTTTGTTTAGATGTGTTGCAATGAGTGTATTTTCTAAAACCTTAATGTCTGAAAACAAAATGAACCCATACAAATCTGCCATATCCTGACAAATCACTTGTTTAACCTTACACATGCTATGGTTTTGAGCCGTGTTTCAAATGTGATACTACTTGTATCCTGGGAAATAGTGCTTTGAAATTGGCATGTTTTAAAGAGATTATACTTGAGCTTGACAGTCTGAGTTTTGGCATGTGCTGAAATTAACTCTGGGGGGGCTGTGTCTCAGGGAGGTACAGCGAGTCGTCTTCTAACAGCAGTTCGATTCCCAACTTGTCCAGTCCACATGTTGAAGTGTCCTTGTCACTGAACCCCCAGTTGCTCCTGGTGATGACACCGGTGTGTGAATGTAAGAGCGATTGGGAGTACGAATGGGTGGATGGCCACATAGTGTGAAAGCACTTTGAGTGTGCTGCAAAGCATAGAAAAGCGCTGCACAAGTTTAAGACAATTTGCCCTTGGGCGAGGTATTTAGCTGCTTTCAAGTTAATGGAAAACTTTTTTTGAACACTTCCATGTGTGAATTTGTTTAATGGGATGAAACCAGGCAAATTCTTAGAAACCAGAGTGAAAGGATTAAAAGCTATGATTGAAAAAGGGAAGGACTGCCTTTTAATAAATTGTTCATTTAAGTGTCTTTAGGAAGGTGGGGTCTGTCAATCTGACATCAGTATTATGTGGATCATTTGTCATCTCAAAGCTGGATATAAGATTTCCTGAGAATTAAATACCCCGTTATTGTCTGCTTGTTTGAGACAGTTGATTCACCTTCTTTGATGTTTTCTCCTCCCCTCCTGCAGCTTGTATCGCCTCCAAACCTGGTCAGTGCGGGCGGGCAGATGGCTACGTCCTGGAGGGCAAAGAACTGGAGTTCTACCTGAGGAAGATCAAGGCCAAGAAAGGCAAATAGATGTACAGCTGTTTGATACGTCAATAAAATCCAAACATCCTACAACTGTCTGCTGTTGCTGATTTACTCTTATTGGTTTGCTGTGGTGCAGTAAAACTCCACTAGATGTCTAATCTACCACAGCAAACCAAACTCCACTAGATGTCTAATCTAGGCAGGAAGTTAAAACGAACTGGCCATGATCAGTCGCTGTAATACCAGTTGAATATTCTATGCTTACACATGATAAAATTCAGTTTTTACGTTACATAAACTCAATCTCACTAGAAAAATGTAAATGGGGCCAGAATATAAGGCATTTAATTTTTCTGAGAATTTTTTATGCAATTAAAGCTGCATTTCACTCATGGTAGGCTAATAATTACTTCACACCCATTTGAGAGAACCTCACCAATCATCTGCCCATATCACTCATACTCCAAGTAACTTTACTAATATTTAATGTTTCACAGTAGAAACATGAATCACAAAGTGTAAGAACCAACACCAGTAAGAATGGAGGGGCACATAAAATGAGATCTATCCATAAATCAAATGCACGCTGGACTCACCCAATCATATGACTGCTCATCACGGTTTCATCTCTAGATATTTATGGTGAAATTGTGGATAGTCTAGTGTAATTAAAACTTGGTCACTGGTGAGCCTTCTTACCTGATGGTGAAGTATATTTCCTCAAGAACAGAAGTAAAGTGAGGAAATACTTGAATTTTATGCTAGTCCATGCAAACTGTTCCTGGCTATACTGCTAAACAGTATGTAAACAGTAATGCTAAAAATATAGACTAACTACACAGTGGTTAAAATGAGTTCCACCTTAGCCAACTACAGTGGTACAATAATGATAACGTATTTACTCAAGGTTTGGGCACAGGTAACGCCCATACAGTGCTGGGATCAGAGCGACAGAGCTCCCGCAGGAATTCTGTTCTCTGAACCCTGAGTTACATATTTTCATTGCATTTATCTGCTTGGGCTAGGCCCGCCCTAGACAGAGGTACAACATTTCACACTTCGTAATCCTATTGGCCATTTGGTGTGAGTAGGTCGACCCCCCTACCTGTGCCTGCTTGCTGAAATGTGATCTAAGCCAGGTGTGTGTGTGTGTGTTTCTCAGGTATGTGCTTGATTTTGACCAATGAACACTGAACAATGTGTGGTCTGGGCTGCAGGCCCCCTTGTCTCTTCAGGACACCCCATGACAAAGCAGAACTTGGAATATGCTAAGCAGGTCTAGGTGAAGGTGCAAAACAGGCCAACAGGTTTTTGTTAAAATGTAAAATAGGCTGTCTGGTTACATGAAGAATCAGCTTTATTGGCCAAGTGTGACGGACACACGGGAATTTGACTCTGGTACGGCGGCTCTCAATGTGCAAAACAGTAAACCAGCATAAGGCTGTGTAATATAACAAAATAGCAGTATTAACATCAAAGGAGTATTTTGAGGAACTGATGAATGAGGAAAATGAGAGGGAAAGAAGGGGGGAAGAGGTGAATATTGTAGAGCAGGAAGTAGCAAAGATTAGAAAGGATGAGGTGAGGAAGGCTCTGAGGAGAATGAAGAGTGGAAAGGCTGTTGGTCCAGATGACATACCTGTAGAGGTGTGGAAGTGTCTAGGAGAGACAGCAGTGGAGTTTCTATCTAGTTTGTTCAACAGGATTTTAGAGAGTGAGAAGATGCCTGAGGAATGGAGGAGAAGTGTACGAGTGCCGATCTTTAAGAACAAGGGTGATGTGCAGAGTTGTAGCAACTACAGAGGTATAAAGTTGATGAGCCACACAAT